TGTTTGTGTATCACTCTCAACTTGTAAGGGCTCATACAATGGTCATAAATACATTTCTCTAGTGTTTTATTAGACTTCATTCTTTTTGTTCTTGGCTGTGTTGAAGGATTTTCTCTTGGTTAATTTCCGCCAGCTAAGACGTCAGGAGACGTCTGTGAACACCGTCAAACATCATAGGTTTAATTTCCTTAGTGCATAAATCACTCTAAAGACTTACTACAGAAGAACTTCAAAACTACTCACTAGCCTAGCAACATTAAGGCTACAAAACAACCCATTTAATGCAACATTCTAATATTGAACTTTGTAAATGAATGTAACCTCTCAAATATAAGACCATTTCCTACTTTGTTCAACTCTAACTTCTAGAGTAGGATCACCAAGGTAACATCATGCTAAATAACCACACAAGAAGTAACGACACAAGGTAAGTTCACCTAGCATGATTTCCACTTGTACCGGTTGCATTATGTCTTGACAGTTAAAAACTAATCATTTACTTCACCCTCAAGAACAAAGCTCTAAAGCCATTTATCTCTTATAACGCTGGAATTTGCTTTTAATGAAGAACTTGGCCCATTAAACAGAAAGCCGACCCTGTGCACGTTTCAGCTCATGTGTCTTGCAACGATTGTTTCCGGTGGCGTAGAGGGAACCTGACCAATAGGTGTAGGTCAATGCATCATCTTCATCATCATCACCGTTCATTATGTTGAACCTGCAGGAATAGCAGGGAGACAGCTAGCAACGTTAAAGTGACATTCACAGAAACACAACACAACATACATAATGTAGCAGGAGTTAAAACCCTGACGTTTCTGTTTTCATGGTTGTTGATCATGATCCAACCATGCCTCTGGGTTTCAGGACTCTTCCTGTGAAGAACTGGTAGTGCTTGATGTTTCCACGATCTTCTTAAACTTCAAGCTGTCATGCCACCAAGTGGAAGGCCTCACTCTCTTAACTGGATTGGACTCTTCCAGCTTGGCCTTAATCACCTTCACATTATTCCTTAATGATATGTCAAGTACGCTTCTTGTTCGAATCTTGGTGTGTGGAAGTTTGAGTTTTTTTTTTTCTTTTCTCATTTCCCAAAAAAACTTGTTTTATTATTTTTATAATGCTAACTAAACAACAACAGTAGAAACAAAAGAACAGCTTTTACCCGGGGCTTACTCTGGTTTCTTCTTTTGAAGCTGATGGAGGCGTAAGGAACACCATCTTTCAGGATCAGCCTGCACAGTTTGAGGACAATTGAAAGTGTTCAGATCCTCAACTTAGGAAAAAGGACCAATACAGACAATTACAAAATACTTCATTACAAGTAAAGTTCCTGCATGAAACCTACTTTATTTACTCAAGTAGTTTCATGAGAATCAGCAGCAAAATGTAGTTAAGTATCAAAGTTAAAAGTGAACTGATTTATAATAATACTGATGCCGTCATTAGATGATTTTATACTGAAGGATCATATGTGTCAGCAGCATGTTACTGTGTGTAGCTGTTGCACGTGGAACTGGTTTGAACTAATTTATAATACAATTCTTAAACAAAAATTGCAAAAGCTGCAGTTCCTCTTAACGACCACTAGAGTCTTGGCTCCAACAGTGAGTCAGTCCCATAGACTCCCATGTTAACATGTCCAACTTTACAGCAGAAATAAACATTTTACAGGCCGGTACAAAACTGTTTTGGTCTCTTAGGCCGAGAATTTTATTAAACTCATCTATTATAAAATCTATTAAGTTCACACATAACTAACAAATTATGTGTACTTCATGAGGTTTTAGGTCATCTCGTAGATGACTGGGTTGCCTATTTGTGTTCTTGAGGTTCAAGATCTGCTGTCTCAAAAATCAATGTGGAAAAACTGCCCTGTTAATCACTGTAAAATAACAGCCATGGCAGAAGGAGCTTTTTGCTTAGTGAACTCAGATTTTAAAACTCACGTGTCTTGAATCCACCTGTGTTCTTTCTTCCCTAAAGCAGACAAAGGGGAGTCAGAACTCGCTTCTCATCAAACCAATGCAGAATTGAGTCTCATCAGTGAAAGTCTCTTCACCTTTAGTCTCCTCTTGTCTGATAGAGCCAACAACAAATCCACTGTTGCCAAAACCACAGCGTAAAAACAATGACGCCCACAAACCTGAATGAATGAATGGAGAAACATTGAAACATTACAAACTTTTGGACTGATGCTCTTGCTTTTTTTACAAAATCACAATATTAAAACCAGGAAAAGAGCTTGTTTTTCCACTAGAGATCTATTTTCATTCAATTAAACTGGACGGACAAGAAACCTCCATCTGACCAACTCTGTCTAAATTCTCATCTGGCTTCAGGTAAAACAGCTGGTAGGTAGTCGTCTGCCATAATAATGGATATTTATGGGTGCTTTTTACTTTTTTACAGCTGCTAAAAAATAAATTAAGAGAGAATTGCGCAGTGGTTTCCCAACTGCAGGTTGGCCTCCGTATTGTTTCAAGATCAAAAATGTTGCCCCCCGCCAATATTTTTTTGATTTTATTTTCAAGTGGGCCATGAGCAGAAGTTGGGAACCACTGAACTAGCAACATGAAATTAGTGAGACGAAGGTCACTTGTTGTTTTGGATTGTTGTTTGTACCTGTTGTGTTGCATTAGTTTCAGTTGTTGCTTTCAGTTGGTGATTTTGTTTCGCAGTTGCTGGTTTTGCTTCAGTTGCTGGTTTTGCTTCAGTTGTGTTTTGTTTAGTTGGCTGTTTTCTTCAGTTGCCGGTTTTGCTCAGTGTGGTTTTGCTTTCAGTTGCTGGTTTTGCTTCAGTTGCTCGGTTTTGCTTCAGTGCCGATTTTGCTTAGTTGCTGGTTTTGTTTCAGTTGCTGGTTTGCTCGGTTTTTGCTTTCTGTTGCTGGTTTTGCTTCAGTTGCTGGTTTTGTTTCAGTTGCTGGTTTTCTGTTGTGGTTTTGGTTGTTTTCCTTTGTCACCTTCACCTGAACAGTGAATAACAAACCTTGACAAACTACAGTGAGAAAAACACTGATGTTTTTCACCTGCAGTGACTAAATGAGATGAATCAAACCTTCTTCAAGGTTTGAGTGATTTTAAACAGCTGATCAATGTTCTCACCTGAGGACCGAGGATGAAGGGAAATGACTGAATGTTTCCAGTGAAATCAAACACTTCACACTTGAATAACTCAGGATACTTTGACTTTCAATAAGAGAAGAATGAAAAGTCACATGTGGCTGAGCACACAGACTGTGATGTTGTGATTTTTACTGTATCATTATCCACATGTTTGTCCTCAAACAGCCACTTCACAGTGTGTATGCACCCATTATACATCGACACAGAGCAGCTCAACGTCACCTTATCACCGTCCTCATGTTCAGTAATGGTGAAGACGGAAGACATTGAGAGAGAAAGACAAGGAGAAATTAACTTCATCACTCGTTCATTATTGTGATTAATATATTGTTATAATGAGACAGTTTGAGCCTGAGGAACATGATGTAAAATACTCACTGTTCAATAACAAAGCAGATATTTCCTGAACTTGCCTGATCTTGACTGACAGTTGTATGACCACCATCTCCAGGCTGTTGAACCTTCTTAATAAGCAGAGAACATTTTCTCTGTGATGAATTCATTCTGTCTTTGACCTTCTCACTGATCCTTCCATGTAAAATCAGTTCTACTGGATCTGAGGTTGTTGAACCAGTGAATGTCCAGGTGATACGGCCACATTCACCCTGATCATCTGCCACATTCTTACAAGGCAAAGTGACGTCTTCTCCGTCTCTGACCATGGGGACAATTTGTCCAGTTACTGCTGTTGAGAAAAGGAGAGAAATATGAAGAATGAACCAAAGCAAAAGAAAAGACAGACGTGCACATTATTGTGAAAATCAGAAACATCCTGTCTCAGATGAAGCTGAAAAACTAGTCCCTGTATTTGTTACCTCCAGACTGGACCACTGTCATTCTCTATGATCAGGATGTCCCAGTAACTCAGTGGAAAGCAGGAAGTAGGTTTGGTCTCAACATTGGTCGGGACACAACGACCTCACCACCCCTCCAAAACAAAGAGGACCTTTTAACGCTGTCAACTGAATGGTTAATTAACGAATAAGATCTGAATTAAATTAAACTAACAGTAACAGATCAAAGACCAGGTGACTGGGGAAAGACTAAGGTGAGCCCTGAACCATCCTTTAGTGATGCTGCTATAGACCTAGACTGCTGGGGGAACTCCCATGATGCATTGAGCTCTCTCTCTTTCTAACACATCAACGCTCTGAGTCTCTGCTGCTGTTGGTGTATTCATGCAGAAACCATCACATTAGTTCACATCATGAACATTAGTAATTAACCATGAATGTGATTAAGTCATTAACAGAGAACAGTGAAATCAAATGTCTCGTGCTTCACAGATTATCTGGTGGTAATTAAAATATATTCATTAGGAGCCTATTAATAAAGAACGTGGCCCTGGTGTTACTTGGTACCGGGTCAGAACCAGGTTCTGAGGCACCACCCACCCCTGACTCAAACGTCTACACGTCCCCTTCAAGGCAGGTGAGGAAAAGCAGTGTTCAGCAGGAGGTGAACAAGGCGTCTGTTGTGTAACAGTCAGTGTGAAATGTTGTGGTTAGATTCACAGAACTGATGTGCAAATGTCCACCACTCACACAACAACAGATCACAGACATGAAGCAGTTTGTCACTGTGACATTAAAACCAGTTGTGATCTGAACAGGGAGGTTTTTCACTGAAGTCACAGAGTTAAACACAAACAGTGAAGTTGACTGTCTTTTTAATGTGAAGGTTAATTAATAAAACAGCATGAAAAGGTCGACGTGTGTAATGTTTCTGTTATTGATAGATGTTTCCATTTGGTACAACTGAATATGAAATTAGACAAAAACAGAAACAACAAAGGAGAAAATGTGTAAAGTTTTCCATCTGCAGCAACAGAAGATGATGTCGTTTGTAAAATTCAAATCCATCAAATAAACAAACCTGTTTTCTCTCCTGAGGACTGAGGGATGAAGGTAAACCGCAGCCGTTTCTTGCTGTTTATATCTGTCACTTCACACTTGAATGACTCCTGATACTTTGACTTGTGATGAAGATGAGCAGTGTTAAATGACACACGGGCTGAGCAGGTACGAGGTGTTGACTCTATGTTGGTGGAATCATCCTTAATACCCTCATACAGCCACTGCACTGGGTATCCACACGGTCCAAATGTGAACACATAACAGTACATGATGACCATATCACTGTCCTCATGTTCAGTCACTGGTGAAGACGGAGACATTGAGGGACAAAGACAACAAGAGAGAAATGAACTTCATCACTGTAATAATCATCATGATTGTAAAGTTTAGTGTTTTAAAACAGACAGTTTGATGTAAATACTCACTGGAAACAACAGACAGATCAACCACAGAGTCTGGAGCTTGTTGTCGTCCTGACTTGTCAAACTGTCTGCAGCCGTAACGACCAGCATCCTCAGCTGAGACCTTCTTCAGAACCAGAGAACAGTTCTCTGTCAGACTCAGTCTGTCTGATTTAGTCTGAGCATCTTTACCAAACTGACCCCATACAACCAGGTTTACAGATGAGTCTAATGAATGACTGAAGGTCCAGTAAGTACTGTCACATTTATCCTGATCATCTCTGACATTTTTACAAGGCAGAGTGGCTTCATCTCCATCTCTGAAAAAGAGGAAGGAACCTTGTCCTGTGACAGCTGCTGAGAAGACGAGAAAGAAACATGAACAAATAATTGAAATAAGAAAATCCAACTCTAACAAAAGAACCTTGTGTCACTTGTCTCTGCCCTCGGATACGACCCGTAGGACGGTACTAGCTGCAATGCATCTTATCCTCCATTAAACTCTGTTCACATCAAACAACACACTTAGCTGTTTTAAGACTGTAGTTACTGAAGCATCAATAGTCAAGTTTTCTACTGTTTCTTTATCTGTGTGTGTTATATGTGTCCTTACCTGTGAACTGAAGCCCCAGCATCACAAACAAAGACATTTTAATCCATTTAGTCCATTTGAGTTCAACCATCGTGCTCCTGTCTCCTTCTCACACCTTCGACTGAGAGAACAAATGAGCTGAGGCTTCTTTAGGAGGCGTTCACTTCCCTGTTTTAGTGAAGTGTCACTTCCTTACAACGACTTGAGTCCTTTTTTCCATCTTTCAGTCGATTCATTCATGTCTTCACAGACTATAATCTTTTCACCTCTGAATTCTTGTAGATATCAAATTATGAAGAATCCAGATGTTTTCACAACTTAGCGTCTGACTTTGCTGTGAATGTTCGATCACATGAAAAGAAGAAGAAGAGGACTGAGGAAGCTAAAGATGATGAACTCATCGTTCATGGAGCAACATGGTGCGATTGCAGCAGCTGGGAGAGAACGGATAAGATGACGTGTTACTGGTCTGAGACCTGTTGGTTCATCATTGTGTCTGAAGTAATTTCTTCTGAGAACTGTGAAGGAAGTGTTTGGGTAATAGTGTGGGTAGAACAGCAGCAGAGCTCTACATCAACGTCAGGTGCAAAATAAGAGGCTCAGAATGAAAAGTGAACTATCATCATGGGCATCGGGTCAGGATGCACGGAAAAGAAAAGGCCACGAAACATCAATCCTCTGACAAAGGTTTATTCTGAAATCTCAAAATGATTTTATGTTCAAACATGAAGGAGAAAACACACAAGGGCTGCTGAACCTGAAAGGAAAGAAATAAAGATTTTCTCAGAGAGAAGTTTTTAGAGACTGAAATGCGGTGATGTTACGCAACACGTCGAAGCTTTGAAGAGTGTCGAGTATTGCTGCTCTTTTCTGGTGAAGAACCGATGCGTCACCTCGCGTCTCGTCTGTACCATGTGACTGCTTTTTGGGGCGGTTCGAATTTTGATTAAGACACTTTAAGCTTACTGAAATATATTTTTCCAAGGTTGATTGCTTTTACAAGAATTACTGTAAAGGTATGCTTGGAATAAACATACAATCATGGTTTCTATTATACTGAGTCTTTGTAATAAAGAAACATTTTTTCTAGAGGATGTTATTTAGAAAAAGGCGCTTCAGATTCCAGTGAGGCTCAAATCTCATTCAAATCAAAACAGTCTGCTGCAGCAGAACATTTCATAGAGTCCTGTATTACAGTCAAATAGACAGTCATCACCAGCAGCTCTTCACTGACTTACAGTCCCTTATCATATATATTTATCAGTTTTTTACATATCAGTTCACTTATTATTTTGAACTCTGAATATTTTCATCAGGTGGTCTCTGCTTCTTTGGGAAAGAAATACATTTACTTAATGTTTATAGTAAAAATACTATCTATCTGTCTATCTATGTCTATCAGAATATAAATAAGTTGCATGTGTTTCATATGTGGTTATGATTTTATCTTTACATATTTGTTTTTTCTCAGGTGCTGTATCAGGGATCTGGGTTAGGGACCTTGTATCTACTACATCTAAAACTTTTCAGTGACTAAGCTCCTGCCTCAACTTGTCATGCTGTTTAAAGTTGTTGGTTTTGTTGTTGCTGTTTTTGCGCCGTCCCTGGACAAGTCAGAACCCAACAAACTTTTTGTGGATAAAATAAAAAACCTCAAGTGAATACATGTGAAACCAGACATTCTTTTCTCTGTCTTGTCAATGAATCAATGGTTCTTTATCTTTTCTTTCTTATGAGATTCAAATGTCTGATCATTGTTGCTCAAAGTGTAAAGATGGTAAAAGAAGAGAGGGCACTCCATTCAGTGGTCAAGTGGAATTACTCTGTAACTAAGGTTATTGAGGACTTAGCACCTTATTGCAGCGTTTGTGTTGAAATATTCACCTAACCTAACAGAAACCATCAGTGGGACCTAAAGCCTTATATTTATTGGTCTGTTGTGCTGACAACGACCATATTTTCATTTTAAAGTGACTTGCCTTGTTTTGATGCATTAAAATATAATAAATGGTACAGCAGGTGCACTTTGTACACTTTAAACTTTATACACCGGAATATTTAAAGAGAATATTTTGTAGATTTCTTTGAACGGGAACTCTTCTCCCACCCCTGTGCTTTCCTTTCTCTGGCCTATGTAGGAATATTTATGTTCTAATTTGTCAGTTTGAAAGATGGATGTTATAATCAACTTAATCAGATTCAAACATGGCTACAACCTCAGCTGCCCTCACATAGAGAATAATGAGACCGATAAAAGAATCCAGAGTTGATTCACAGTGATGAAATTTGACGGTTTCAGCGTGAAGTGATGTTGATAATGAAGAGATCCAGTCCTGAGGTCAACAAACTGAACCACTACACCTAAAGATTCTTCAGTAAAATCTTAAACACAACAGGAGAGAGTCCAAACCTACCTTCAATGTGCCAGCACTTATCACAAAGTCTAATATCTACCGCTGTTTTGGTTCTGGTTTGGCCCGGTGTTTGCTTCTATATTTGCTGTGTTTTTTTGCCCAGATGAAGAGCAAATTCTACAGCAACTGAAAAGCTTCAGTTCATCATCTGTAAGTACAATAAACAAGAAAGAAAAGTGTCTGTGATGTGATGTGTGTCTGGACAGACTTTTAAACACTGCTGGATGAAAGGTGACAGAGAACAAAGTTAAAGGACTGTTTAATAGGAAACCTGTTACTGAAACGATCTTTGCCCCCCTTAGAGCGACTTCAGTCATGTTTACTGATCCGGTTTATTCTGTGTACAGTCACACAAGGTGAGTTTATCATTCACCTACTATATGTAGGTAAAGGGTACATCTGATATGGTCTGTCTATTTAGCCTACCTCAGGTGTTTGTTTCATATTGAAACCAGCAGTGAGCAGGATGGGAACAGTTGCTAAAAGGTTAGTTCAGGTTCCCAGATTCCTGAACATGAAGATATATAGGTTAGTTTAAAATATGATGACACATAGTTTAAACTCAGTGAATTCACAAATCCTGGATTAATGTAAAAAATAACTTATCTTATCAGTCATTGAGCCCTGATGAATGGATTCAGCGAAACTACAGTTATTCAAAGCCCTTATTTTACTTTATTTTTTTTTACCACATATTGACTAATACAACAGCAAAGAACTATTTTATATGTGAAGATATAGTGGAGTGATGGCGTCCTGTGTTGTAATTCTCTGTTCTTTCTTTTGGTATGCAGTCTAGCAGTGTGTACATCCGAGACTGGACATGAGGACTACCGGCTCAGATCCCAGTCGGTCAGTGGACCGTTTTTACTGCCCTCATCAGTGTCTATGTTCTTTCCATCAGTGTCATTCCTGTGGCCGGTCCCAGTGGATCTATGACCAACGAAGCATTTGTTTGGGGCTGAGATGCTGCTGGTCGAGTGTGACATCTAATGGCAGTGATGATCGAACCTTTAAATAAGCTGATAAATTTAATTTCCAAGGCAATTAGCATTTGGGGTTTCTCTGTTGATCAACATTGAATACACTTAGTTGCCAATTTATTAGGTACAGCTAGGTAAAACAAACACAACAGTCATGATTTTTAGGTTTTAATGTTCAGTTTTTGTTGAAACTGTTATAGAGACGTGTCAATTGAACTTCATGGATTTTAGAGACTTCAGTTTGCAGTGCTGTTTGTTGAATTGTATATCCTATTATTTATCATCTATTGCTAGATTATGTATAGATTTATTATACCTTAAAACAAATATTCCATTAGTAAATGTCCTCAATTGAAAATTTAAGTAAAGGTATTATTAGCAATATATGCAAAGTAAAAATGAACCATTGTGATATTATTATTTCTTATTGGATGGTTATACATGGATGTGTGAGTAACATGAAGTTGTTGGAAGTGCAGAGAAAATGCCAGAAGTCAACAACCAAAATGATACAAGCATCTGTTAAAATAACTGGGCAATGGTTAACGCGTCGAGGTGAAACTTTACTCCACATCTTCCTGAAACCTCTGTACAGACTTAATCACTCTCACTTTAAGATCACGTGACAGCATCAAGATAGTGGCCTTCAAGATAAAGAGAGCTCAACCCTATCTTGTTAATCTTAATCTACTGATAAAACACATTGTTCTGAAAGGAGCTGATAAAAACAAAGGTTTACTGATTTTTTTTTTTGTGAATGAACTTTCCCATACTTGGGTCATACCTGTGGGCGGGGCTGTTTCCCTCACTGGCAGCTACAAAAGACACCTGTCCTCACACTCAGACTCAAACACAGCAGGGCAGGAGACTTACTGTGAAACAACACTGGCGGCAAGCACACGATGGGGATATTAGATATTTTTCTCCAGTCCTCCAGTTCTGTCCCCCTGTTGGGGGCTCTGGTGGTCCTGCTGCTCGTCTACCTTGTTTCTACCTTCATCTTCAGCTCTCAGGAGAAAGGGGAGGATCCTCCAGGACCAAAACCGCTGCCACTGCTTGGCAACCTGCTGCAGCTGGACCTGGACAGACCCTACAACACGTTACTGGAGGTGAGGAAGTAGTTTTCATCTTGGGTAGTTTTTTTTGTTGTTGTTGATGTCTTCTCTGAGTTTGTGTCTTGTACAACTCATGATGTTTCTCCCCTGCCTGTAGCTTTCCAAGAAATATGGATCAGTGTTCACCATCTATTTCGGACCCAAGAAAGTGGTGGTCCTGGCAGGATACAAGACAGTGAAGGAGGCACTCGTCAACCGTGCTGAAGAGTTTGGAGAAAGAGACCCGATGCAAATTGTGAAAGATTCTAATAAAGGACACGGTAAGGACAAAATAACAGCTTTTCCCAAATCATTAAACTTTACCTACAGTGTTCACAACCTTTGCTCATAATACTTCACTTCAGGAGTTTTATGGTCCAATGGTGATTCCTGGAAAGACATGAGGCGCTTTGCTTTAACGAACCTCAGAGACTTTGGGATGGGGAAGAAGGCCTGTGAGGACAAAATCACTGAGGAATGTGAGCACCTGATCGAAGTGTTTAAAAAATTTAAAGGTAAATGTCTGTAATTTAACCACCTGCATTATGAGCAGTATTGTAGAAGTCCCGAAAAAAATCCTTCTGATTCTGATTTTTTTTCCGTTTCCCTTGTTGCAGGAGAAGCCTTTGATACGACCCAACCGATGAACTATGCAGTGTCTAATATCATCTGCTCCATTGTCTATGGCAGCAGGTTTGAATACGATGACACAGAATTCACATCTCTGGTAGATCGGACAAACAGAAACATTCAGCTTGCAGGCTCCCCATCAATACAGGTATCATTTCATATGTTTGTGAGGCTTTGAGCACTGTGATTTCACTATACATGAAACTGTTGCAACAGAATAGAAGAAATAATTTCATTTTTCACTTACCTGTTAGTTTACATCCTGATATTTTGTTGAGCAGGTGTACAACCTGTTCCCATGGATTGGGAGATGGATCGCTACCAAGAAGGAATTCAACAAACTGACTGACGCCAATAAGAAACAGAACTTAGAGCTGTTCAGACGTCTGAGAGAGACCCTCAACCCACAGATGTGCAGAGGCTTTGTGGATGCCTTTCTGGTTCGGAAGCAACATCTGGAGGTTGGGAAATTATAATAACTTGATAAACTTGCTGTTTTGGTTCATTGCTATATTTTATTTCAAATGAAGCTTTGACAAATTATGTTGGATCAATGTGTGGACATTAGAGTCCCACTTTTGATTCCACTGTTTGAATCCTTTTAACAAATACCTCCTATGATCCCGGTTGTTACAGCTGGTTGTGTTTGTGAGTTAAAACGCACAGGTGTGTAAAGGTCAGTTCAAGTCCACAAGGACCCCTGTGCGGATGTCCACATGTAGCCAAGAAGCTGTGACTGTAGACGGTCCGCTCTTGAAGCGCCACGGCTGTGCATGTCTGTGCTGAATTCTACCTTACTCTATTCTTCAGCCAACTGGAGCAGGTGATGCTATTTTCAAAGTACAGACAGGTGTTTACATCTGGTTCGGCAGTTCACAGGTGATAAGAGGGCCTGCTAGATTCATAGATGGTGTGCATTTGGAGTCCTCTAGCTGAGTTAACATATCCAACCAGGGAAATTTATATTTCACCTCTTGACCAAAGTAAATGCAGTCATGGATTTAATTTCCACTGTTACACTGATGATGGTTGGTCAGGTTTCTGTCTACAACCTTCCCAGGCCAAAGGTAGACTCATCAGTAACAAGAGGTGAACCGTAACCCTTAGTGGTTTTGCTTCATTCAAAGTAATGAAACATATGTAAAGTTCTGGGTCAGATGTTTCAGTAACTGCACTGGTTCATCTTTACATACAGGAATCTGGGATTACCAACAGTCACTTCCACAATGAAAACCTTATGAACACAGTCCTGAATCTCTTTGCTGCTGGCACGGACACAACGGCAACGACACTGAGGTGGGGACTTCTGCTGATGGCGAAGTATCCAAAAATACAAGGTTAGGAACTTGAGACAGCCGCAGCTTTCATATAGCAACAACCGGTCCAGGCAGCAACGTCTGCTTCACCAACACAAAAATCATCTTCATAAAAACAAACATCTTTCATCTGCCAGACCAGGTCCAGGAGGAGCTGAGCAGGGTGATAGGAAGTCGTCAGGTGCAGGTTGAAGACAGGAAGAACCTGCCCTTCACTGACGCTGTCATCCATGAGACACAGAGACTGGCCAACATCGTTCCCATGGCGCTGCCTCACAAAACGAGCCAAGACGTCACCTTCCAGGGTTACTTCATCAAGAAGGTCAGACTGACATGAATGACTGAGGAAGATCAAATCTGACTTGGAAAAATGAATTAAATACTCAAAAAATAGAGGAATCAATACATAAAGTAACACTTTAAAATAATATTAATTTCTAGTGACAGTAAAAATGAGAATAAATGGGGGCACTTTGCTTATATCATTCACCTACTCTCTCCTTGAATTTCTACTTATTCTATCAAATAAAGGCATGAACTGGACAAATAATAATAAATTAATAAAATTATAAATTGAAATATATATTTTGTGGAACATTAGATCTTTTTCTAAAATGTATTTATATTTAAATGTCTTTGTGCTTCTTCTTTATTCAATTTTTAATCAGCTACTGGGAGTGAACATGAGCTTTCTGTAGAAAAATATGAATAAGGATTAATTACTTTTCACACTTTAACTGGTTAACTTTCATTCTGGGTTAACAAAGATCTAGATTATTTTTTAAATTTTGGCACTTTTTATACTTCATCTATCATAATTACTCTTAATTCCACAGAGGTAGAGATGTCCTGCTGTGTGCTGAATACTTTAACTTTCATATGTCTTTTAATTCATTTATATCTGTTAATTTTTCTAATTCATGAAGTCCATATGTTTTTCATGTTATAAATACAAAATATACCAATAATTAAGAATGTAGCATGTTTGCATTTCTACAGTCCATGAAACATATGAATGCTGGAGAGCATTGTTTAACATATAGAAATCTTTTTAATTTCTGTGTTGTCCACAGGGGACCACGGTCTATCCTCTCCTGACGTCTGTCCTCTATGACGACAACGAGTGGGAGAAACCACAC